GTAACCACGCATGTATATTAAAGAATAACTGTAGCCATGAATACATCGTCACATGTTCTGTGCTAGTATGATCCATTACAATGTCGAACGTGTTGCCGAAGGTACGTTGCAACAATTGCATACTATCAATCATTCCAAAGTCAGAAACTAGTTTATGTTGCATGTGAAGAATAGTGGTTTGAGGTCACGACTGTCATCGTAGAAGCAATGAGTTTTTGCCCGATAGCGATACTCTAATATGTTCGCACGTCGTTGTGATAAATGTTCGACGTAATTTATATTGATCGTTTTTGAAGCCAACACAAGGGCGTTTGGGTTTTCGATGTTTTAAAACGACAACTTTTTCCTAGTATATCTACCATAGATGTCTGCCAACGCTTGACATGCTTTCCTATCGATCATCTACTATAGCGGCGCAAAAGAATAGATTCAGTGTTCTTGTTTCTTTAATTTTATCTCGTTTTTAGTTTGTATAGTTATGCATCTCTTGAATATAGATAGGTTTTGATTCACTGTCATTGTGAAGTGAATACTGAAGACAGTGAAGAAAAGTTCTGAACTATAAATTACTGTTTTGAATAACAGAAGATCAGATTCGTAGATTAATAGTTTTACAATTGACATTATAAATTAAATAAATTCTTGCAATATGTTATCTCTGTTAACTCAGTTGGTTAGAGTGCGGACCTAATAAGTCCGAAGTCACCAGTTCGAGCCTGGTACGGAGAACGCAAATTTTTAGTCGAAAACCAATAATTCAAGGCTAAATTTACATAAAATATGTACTTTATCTCTGCTAACTTAGTTGGTTAGAGTGCGGACCTAATAATTTTGAAGTTACCAGGTCGAGCCTAGTACGGTAAGTAGTTTTCATTTCCATCGTGATGATATTTTATAAATATCATCCGTGTTTAAACTAATTATATATATATATATTTACCGTTTCCTTTACCGTATAAATAGTTACTTTCAGAAGAAGAAAAAAGTAACTTCAAAGTTTAAAATAGTACATATCATATACCAACGCAGACAAAATATGTTTCTTCTCCGTACCAGGCTCGAACTGGTGACTTCGGACTTATTAGGTCCGCACTCTAACCAACTGAGTTAACAGAGATGATTGAGTTGTTGATTTTTCTAAAAAGATCACATCGTATGTGTATCTGCTTAATATTCAATAATATCCTCCAACACACTAAAGGGAACTTTGTCGGTTACTTCAGTACAGATTGATTAATATTCTGAAATTTAATTCCTGGACAGTCTGTTATCTCATTTGGTGCGAAATCACCACGAGCCTGGTTAAAGGAGAACGATGGCTATATTTATTTAGTATTATCTCGCGCTTAAGTGTCATTCATATGCGTTCAACAAGTAAATATTGAGTCACAATTGTGTCCCATACATTCTACAAAGTATGATTTTCGATAAATGATCCGACTTCAGTCTTCGTTAGAAATAGTAATATAGGTTAAGAAATCGCCAACATTGCTGTGCGATTTTTCTAGACTGCATCGTTTAGTATTCTACTACCCATGCCACGTATAATCCTCGAACTTTGTGGGGTGCGCTAGTGTTCATGATTAAATTTATCCATCGTCTACTATGTTGGTTTTGATTTGTATGTTATGTGACATGGTATACAAAATGGCTGAAGGAGTTTTCGCATATTGCTTATACTGTGTTGAGTCCCTGGTGTGGATATTCGAATAAATAATTCTACCTGGACTGTGGTGGTTTTTGAGGTAGAGAGATGACTCTTTTGGCTGTGGCGTACTCGTCGTAGTTTGAAGCATGCTCTGATTTTTCGTGAGTAATGTGGATATTAAAGTGTATTCTCTCATATCATGCATGTGATCAATTGCTATGGATAAACATACAAAGTTGTGTTCATTATATCACTTCTGATTTCAGTAAAAAGGAAATATATCTGTGACTTCATTTAGTGGCATAGTGTGTGGTTATTTTTTATCGTCACTGGTTCTTGCTCGCGTTCTGTGTTTTGATATACTATTTAGCTGTCTTAAGAT